ACACAGAGTTTGCCCTGTGGCCAGTAAAGCTGTTTCCACAGGTGTAATGTGACTGTATTAAACTGCATGCCTGAAGCTCCACTTTAAAGGAACAGTCAATAAAAGGACACATTCACATAAAATGACATGGTTGTAGCAGGAACTCTTTAAAATGTCAGCAGTCATTTAAATGCACACAAAATAAAAGGACGACTGACTAGCAAGGATACAATCAACAGGAAATTCCAGCTTTGCCTAATTGCTCCTTAATTAAGAGACATATTTCTGTTGGTCACAGGTCACCTCGCCGATCAGATTAAGTTGACAAGGAAGGTGCAGCACACAGGTTCCATGTAGGTTGACAAGGAAGGTTTAGCACACATGTTCTATGTAAGCTGACAAGGAAGGCGTAGCACACATGTTTCATGTAGGTTGACAAGGAAGGCGTAGCACACATGTTCTATGTAAGCTGACAAGGAAGGCGTAGCACACATGTTCCATGTAGGTTGGCAAGGAAGGCGTAGCACACGTTCCATGTAGGTTGGCAAGGAAGGCGTAGCACACATTTTCCACATAGCTTTTGTCTCCAGCTATGTACTGAAACTGGCTTCCTGCATTCCTTCACAGGTCTGTGCCTTACCTACATCACTAATTATAACCTTTCCTCAAAAAATCTCTGCCGAGGTACCTGGGACCACTGGACTTCTCTCCAGCCTCCAAGTACCCCATCACCATACTGTCCCTGTTCCAAAAGGGCATCCAGCACACCGCTCAGGTGAAACACCTTGTCACTGCTGCACACCGGGGGGGTCACCATCTGGCACCACTCACGTGCAGGAGGATGGTTGCCTTCCCTGAGTGATGGAGGGGAACCTTGGCCAAGAATCGGATGGGGGTCCGATAGGGAATCCCTGTATGCGCTGCAGCAGGCAATACCTGGAGTAGGTCCCAACGCATAACAGGGTTAGGCTCAGCCCTAAGGCCAATAAACATGAGCCCCGAAAATAACAAACATTACAATGTCCCTGTGTAGCCGGAGGAAACACAAAAAAACTGAATTGGGATAGAAGGAGGAGTCTTTTTATTTAATGTGGTTGATGTGTTTCGTGTTGCAGGCAGGCGGAGCCTTATCTCATTGGCTGTCCTGGAAGATGACTGGGGAAAATTGGCTTCTATTGCGCATCCTTCGTAAGAAGTTACTGCCGCAGATCAACTCTCCCGTCTGATGGAATCATCTCCTGTATCCTTATAGTATCAACATGACATACAGGCTTTACAGTGTGCACAGAACCTCTGGTCCCAGCAACCCGCTGCTGCAGAGGAGCTGACAATCTAATGCCCTTGCCTCACATGTACACACTCAGGAACCACAAAGGATGCGACACAAAGAGTGAAACTACCACCATAACTTTTTTTTGTCTTTTTCTAGGTTTCGATAGAGTAGGAAAGGGTTAGAACCGTTAGATCTTCTTTGTCAGGGGTTCAAAGACTTCCCCTTTGTCAGGGATTCAAAAGGGTCCCACTCCATCGGTTCAAGCTGAGGTGAAACTACAAATCCGATTATGCATCTGCCTCTTAAAGTCAAGCCCGTGACTGTCAAAGTCTTGCAATGACGAATGGGATTTGTAGTTGCACCACAGCTGTGGGGCTGGAGTTTGCCTACCCCTGGTCTAGGGGCACAATCCAACCATTAGTCCCTGAACGGATTACCGCTCAAAAATCGTGCATATTGCCGCGCGATATCGCGAGATCTCGCTCGTCCAATGATTTTCAATGGAGCTGATAATTCTACAGCTCAATGTCGCCTGTAGCTAGTTGCTGTCGCTCATGCAGGACCCTTTTTTGCGCAGATGTCGCACGATTTTGCTTGTATTTTCATGCAGCCCAATACAAAAGGTCGTGCGATCGCCGCATGAAAAGTCGCGCTATATCGCGCTACTACGATCGTGCGGAAATCCACACGAGTTGCATGTCGCCCAGTGTGAATGGGGTGTTAGGGTCGCGGTGAGGCAGCATAAAAAGGAGCCAGTGAAGCCATCTGCAGTCAGCAAATTGTTGCATCATGACACTATGGCAACACAAGTACACAAGCTATAGCAAGAACAGGTAAATCTCACGATTGTTTGTGCTAATGCCTGCAGCCTTCGCGGATATGATATATAAACTTTCCAGAAGGCTACGGGCAACACAGGGTACATCAAAGAAGGAAGTAGCACAGTGGAAAAGATTAAAAGGTATTTAAAAAGAGGAACTTTACCCATATATTTGAAATGGCAACAAACACACCTTTAGAAATGTTCAGTAATGGCAATGCTGGTGATATTCTGCATTGCGCTGTATAGTGTACTATTGCTGGGATTTGTAATCCTCTATAGCCGATGCCATTCATTGCTGTATAATTTTACACTTTCCATTTCACTATATTGCACACCACACTATTTTTTTTCTTTTTTACTTCCACCGCTCCAAGCTTGCTCCTGTGATGGACTGCAATCTCAATACAAACTAGTAGTCCATCACTGGAGCCATTTTTTAAAATTTTATTGTTTATCCGATTAACCGATTAATCGAACTTAATAATCGGCTAACTAATCGATTTTGAAAATAATCGTTAGCTGCAGCTCTAATGGCAATCTACAAAACACATACATCTAGATAATTGCCGGCTTTGTATTCTTTACATATCTTATTTCTCTTCTTACCCAGTCTTCTCCCAGTGGCCATTTTTTTTTTTAAATAAAGGGCATAGTAATATATCTCCCTTTACTTCCTGGAACTCCGGCACACGCGACTAGGTCATGTGACCATGCACATCATCTCAGCTGAGGAAAATGCTTTTCCCTGAGATCCTGTGAGATTACAGATGAGGTTTCCCACCAATGCTCTGCTGATGTAACCTTCCCAGGATGCAACGCTTGTCCACACATTACATTACCAATACCCAAGAAGACCAGGAAGAAAAAATAACAGTTGTACATACAAGAAAAATAGGTTTATTGAACTAATGAATGTAAGATGATTTCATATCCACATGCAGAGCTGCACGCTGAGGTGATTTTAGTGAAAGGGGCTAAAGGTCCGCTTTAATAAAAATAAAAGTTGAAATACCATCGTTATTCTTATATGAAGGGTGGAGGAATACAATTACCTAGTAGAGTTAGAGTAGACTCAAAAGTGTTTCTTTTTCTGGGGCACTTCCTGATTACACTTTTACGCCTTTACACTTCCTCATACAGTAAAAATTCTTTCCTTTAACGACTGCTAACACAAGATCACACCATTGTTAACCCCTGCACTCCAGGGAGATGGCCATGATTGGTCTGGTTGTCTGCCATAACCAGGTAAGGACTTTTAAAGCAGTCCTTCACCTTGCCTATGCAGAAGGCCACTTAGCTCTTCCCCAGCAGTACAAATGACCTTTCTTTGCTACCATGCTGCTCCATTTATGTCAATTACCTGCCACTTCCAGGCATGGTGAGAGTGACTCACTACTGCTCCCCAATCTAACAGCCCTGGTGCCTGGTGATTGGCCTAGCGCTGTCATATGGCTTCAAGTAAGATGTCCTTTGCTCTGGGTAAGCTATGAGAAGTCGGTTTGGAGCTTACAAGGTGCATCCTATCCCCGGTCCTGGTGGCTGAACAAACAGCGCAGGGAAGGAAAGGTATTTACTGCTGGGGATGGAGAAAGTAAGGGACTTGCATAGACAGGGTTACTTTAAAGCGTTTTTCCATTTCTGCAGCCAAATTGGAATAACGTCAATTTCAAATTCGCACAATACATGTTATAGTCTAAGATATATATCTTTTATATATTTTGTTAGTCCAATAAGAAAGGAATCATTGCACACTGCAATACTGCGTTTTTGTTTACATATATATATCTATATATCTCTCTATATTTAGAGAGATATATAGATATATATTTATTTATTTTAGGTATGCTGTGGGAATAGGAACACAACACAAAACACATAGAAATGTGTCGAAATACACTTTAAAAAAGGAGAACTATGGGGTTAAGTCTTTTCCTGAGACGCCGCAGCTGAAGCGGATCCCGACAATTGTGCCAGGATCCGCCCAGCTGCATCGTCCGTTCCGCCAGTCAGCACTGACAGAGCCGTGACAGGATCGAGAGGTGAGCGAACACCGGTATGTGTTCGCTCGCCTCCCGATCTACTGAGCCGACCTGTGACAGTCTCATTGTCACAGGTCGGCTAGAACTATGAGGTGCGTGAAAAGCACTCACCTCATAATTCTCCTTTAAGAAAGCAATAATGAAAATGTGTCATTATCAGAAGCGCTCACTGTTGCTCGATGAACGATCATCCCTATCTCTATAAGATGGCCATGGACTTTAGAGGGAGGCCAGATGTACAAGAACAACATGGCTGCCCTCAGGGCAAACAAATATAAAAAGGGCAGTCTGGAGGACTCCATAAACTTGTCAGCTCAGTTCTACCGAGCAGACAAGCTGTAAATGAGAGGGAAGACGCACGAGGATGCAGAACAAAGACCGGCATGTTGGGACGAGGAGAGATTTTGAACCCCTAGGAAAGCGTTAGAACGTCTGTGGACTGGCGTTACTTTCCTGCGTGTGATGTGTGTTTGGAATGCAGGTAAGCTTTGTGGTTTGATGTGAACCCAGTGCTTCTGAGGTCTCCCAAGTCTGCTCAAAACTGTGACCGACACCCCCTTCTTGCCCAATCAGCCCTGCAGCTAGCCATTGCAAAAGGACGGGGCATGCAGCTGCTGCAAATGCCGCCACTGATCGGAACCAGGAGGGGTAGTGACAGTTTTGAGCGCGTTTGGGTGACCTCAGAGTCCACACCAAGCCCATCAGTGGTCACAAGCATTTTAGTGTAACGGCTTTTGCCTTGCCACTGCATTTCTCACCCAGCTAATAAAAGGTCTGGTCAACAATATTATTTATCACAACTCCGTTTCTCATGAATGAAGTAAAACACGTTTACATTTTACACAACAGGCTGCTGTAGGACTGGATAGCATTTGAAATAAACTACCTCTTTGTCTTTTAATCCTAAGAGCAGCACTTCCTCCATAAGCGTGAGCCTCATGTCTTTGCAATCCCCTGAGCTCTCTTCATCTTTCTCTTTGCTGCCGTCCTCTGAATCTGTTCTTTGCCCATCCTCTCCGCGTCGTCCCCGGCGAATTAAAGTGGTCATCCTTCAAAATAAGCAGAGAATAAAACATGAATTTGTGCATCAAGAGTCAAAGTACTTGTGCATTACCAAGAATGGGAAGGCGGGGATGCTTTCTAAAAACCAGGAGTGGGTGGGTCATCGCAAATAGCTGTGGAAAAGTGACAAACTGCAATCTGGATTGGTTGCTGGAGCAAATCTTTAAAGATGAACCAACATAAAAATGTTCATTTACATGTCCTCTTCTATGACTAAAAACATTGGTGTGCACCCAATGCCTTTACATACCCAGATGTTACCTGGTGGGAGTGGCCCAGCAGTCTCCACCCACTACAGGAAGGGGTGGCGACAAGACCAGTCAGGTTGTAGAGAAGAACTTGTCGCACTCCTTACCGGAAATCCCAATGATAGGGATGGGTGCTGAAATGACTGCGGACGGTGCCGCTATCACATAAGCTTGGTAGAGAAGAATGTCACCAGCACACCAAGATCCTTTTAAGATAATCAATTGTTAATTTTATTGAACAGATTGTCAGTTGAAAAACAAGCGCTTTCGGGACCTCCGAGGGTCCCTTCATCAGGCTCGACATCGACGACGTTGATGTGTGACATTTTGGTGTGCTGGTGGCATTCTTTTCTACCAAACTGACTAAGACCAGTCACCCTGCACAAGGAGAGAGATCAGCAGTGACCGGTCTTTCTTACAGGAAGGGGCGGAGACAAGACCAGTCACCTTCCACAAGGAGAGAGAAGCAGTGACCGGTCTTTATTACAGGAAGGGGCAGAGACACGACCAGTCACCCTGCACAAGGAGAGAGATCAGCAGTGACCGGTCTTTCTTACAGGAAGGGGCGGAGACAAGACCAGTCACCTTCCACAAGGAGAGAGAAGCTGTGACCGGTCTTTATTACAGGAAGGAAAGTCTCACAAATGATCACTGCACAGATCTGGAAGAAATACACAAAACTCACCAAGATTCAAATAAGAATACACATGGCTCTTGAATATACATAATATTTGGTTATCCCTGAGTTCAGCTTTAAAGGGTTATTTAACCCTTGTATGTTTTTGCATATATCTAATGCTAGCAAGCAGTAGAAATATACAAATCAATAAAAAAAACTTTTTCAAAGGGTTAATACTTACCTGTGTCTCCGCCGCGCGCTCCCGTCCGAACATCTGAAGAGTCTCGGGCGGTCGCAAAGGATCTCGGGGCGGGCGCATGCGCAGTTCAGATGTTCAGCCGGGAGACGAGGAGAGACACAAGGTAAGTCTGTGGACAGCGTGCACCTGCACAGACTCTGCAGGACATGAGCGAAGAGGAGGACAGAGGAGTCAGCGCTGGATCGGAGACCCGCACCCAACGCTGGAGGGACAGCTGAAAAGGACAGGAAAGAAGAAGATGATCGGATTAATGAGACATCATATAAGGTAAGTGCTTACATTAGCACTGTGGGGACGATTTTTGTCCTTATTGTCACTTTAACTTCCTTTTCTTCCAAATTGATCAAACAAGAACACCACAACATGAACCAATTTGATCTAACTTTATAAAATACAACAAGATACTGATTAGAATTTTCTTTGGCTCTGTAGTCCACAGAGAGAGCTGGGAACAACAATCAGCAGAGGAAGTCACCAGCTCACTGGATTAGTGGCGGGATCAGCAGCCATTTGTTTTCCATTTATTAAACAGGTATAAGAAACTGCTTTCTATGGGATATTTAACAGACCAAAAGGGAGCAAATAAGAGAAGTTCATTGTTATGGTTTACATATACTCAGATTTAAATGTGAAGTTTAATTGACTTTTGCCTTCCCTGGCTCCTTCCCTCACCAGCACGCTAATTACATTGTTAAAGGAGAACTATGGGGGTTAAGTCTTGAGTCTGGAGGAAAGGGCATTCCGAGGCAGCCTGTATTTCCCTACAGACCAGATGTGATGCTCAGCCTCTATGATTAATAAATACAAAATGTAATGATTGAAAGGGGTGAGCTGGGGAGGAAAGAGATAGATTATAATGGATGTCCAGCTAGGAAATGAGTTGGGCTCTGGTCTGCCTTGCTGCAGCGTCTCATGCACATTGTAAGAAGCTCACCATGTGCAAACAAATCAGAGGAGCTGCTACAACTGTGCAACACTGAAGGGAAGGTCGGAGGTCAGGTTTAAAGCAATACGCGAAGGATATAGAGCAGGGGTAGCCAACCAGTGGTCCTCCAGCTGTGGTGGAACTACAAATTCAATGAGGCATTGCAACATTCTCACAACAGCCACAGACATGACTCCCGGAGAGAGATGCATCATGGGATTTGTAGTTTCACCACAGCTGGAGGACCACTGGTTGGC